TTCTCAAACTCATTAATAATTCATTAAGAAAATACAAAGGAAATTAATGTTTAATGAGTGTTTGGAAATCGGATGAAACACTGCTTAGTATTTGCATCCTTAATTTCTCCTTCAAAAATGATTTTGTTTGAGAAGAAATATCAAACATTCGACACAGTGTTTCATCACCAGATGAAACACCTCGAAGTTCGTCAAAAATACTCCGCTGCGCGTCGTATTTTCAACTCTCTTCTCGGTGTTTCATCTGGTGATGAAACACTGCATCTCATGTTTGATATATTACTTCTTGAACTTTGCGGAAATAACTATAATAATCAAGGCTTCTATATCAAGAAAATTGTAACTTTTTCTTGTTACCTTATTTTGCTGTCCCAGTCGAAAAACTTCTATGGACGACTCCTGGGAAATTTGATGATGTATCAAATACTTACTTCGTATTAAAGAAGTGTCACTCTATTGATTTTAAGTTGTCTCTTTAATTCTATGGTAAAAATTAGCGACATTGATTTAAAAAGGAAAAACTTTTTAACAATTCAAAACTTTTTAAATACAGCTTGAGTTAAAACGTTCGTGTATATCGTTTACACAAATACAGCTGGGATTCAAATTGACAAACTATGATAAACGATAATTAACGGTCTTTTCCGCACAGAGAAACTCCTGTTTTGTTTTTCATTTTTCCGATTTTTTTGGCGGGGAAGATTCCATACTTTTGGCCAAGCAGGATCGGTTTTACTAATCAAGGATGAATGAATAAGATAAATACTCTAATACCTAAGAAAACGCTTTCGGTTAAAAGACAATTTTTCAGTTCCCTAATTCACCAGTGTGCGCCCCAACCCCCACCCCCTCCTCTTTGTGATCTCTGTAATCCTCAAACACTAAGTCCGTGTTCCATTCGTTAACCTTACTAATCTAATGGACCCCCAGAACAGTCAGCGGCTGTCATCAGTGGAGTTTGTGCCGGTTACTATGGCGACGACGGTACTGTGCGGGAAAGACTGCTCAGAAGCAAACAGCAAAGTGACCTCATAAACAGCCAGAGTTTACTTTAATATTTTATGATACGAGGTTAAAGGTAAGATTGAATAATTAGGTATGAAAAAGACAATGAATGAGAGTTTCTACGAACGTTATTTACTGTGTTTTTGCTTCACGTTTCAAAGCAAGTAAATGATCAACTCCATCGAGTTGGATGATAGTTTTGAGGGTACGATGTACGTAAATCCAGGATACAAGCTTAGGTATTGTCTTGAAATGTACTCAGTTCGTGCATTTATGTGCTTTGATCGTCATATAGTTTAATGAAACTACACTATAAATAATCTCTCGAATAGATTAAAATATCCAGCTGAAGTTGTTTCTGATTAAAATTAAATCACAATGCAATGAAGTCCCTTGATCTACATTGTGTAATTAAAGTCGTTTTTCGATGTGCAGTGATTTGTCTGTTTGTTGTTTCTTCAGGCATGGGAGCAACAATCTCCAGCCACACTCATGGGACATCTGTCAGTGAATATGGCAAAGGAAAATTGGAGTTCACACCTCAGAATGAAGCATTACTCAATGAAATAGTAAAACATGTGGAGGGGCTAGTCAGTTCACACCCAAGGGAGGCAGAGACGATTCTCAAGGAACCCTTCAAGTGGCACAGCACTCTTAATCCTGACAGTTTTGGGGAACTCAACTTTGGTTCAATGGGATTTCAGATAACGTAATTATGCTTTAAACTTGATAATAAAGTAACTCTGTGGCTGTTAAAGATGGACAATGTTGGGACTAGTGCTAAATTTTTCTGTCTTTAGTTTAATGGAGTCAGTCTGCCTTAACTATATTGATTTACCTTGTACCACCTTGTCACATGCTATGTGCTTGTGGTACATATTGTATGAGAAACCAATCGTACAACTTGCCATGCTTGCAAATCAAATTTATCACTGAAATGCGCAAGTCAGTGGTAAGTTTGATTTGCGAGCATGATTAATGTCATAGACTCACTGTAAGCACTCCCATGATGAGACAGTGTTGCACCATGTAAATCAGCTTTTATGTACAGTATGACCAGATAACTGTAGGGACTGTCTCTAGCTTTCCTGTGTCCATGAAAAATGTCTACCCTGTAGAAGTGTCCATTAGGAGACAGTTGACTGTTTGCTCTTGTTGAACCACTTGAATAGCCATAATTTAAAATTTATTTAGTTTATATGTCAAGGACAAACTGAGGGAAATATTATATTGTTAGCTCACGGGTTAGGCAAGTAAGGGAAGTTGCCAACATGTAGTAGCTCACGTAGACACTCATTTAGACACTCCATGTAAATGTATCTATGGTAACAAACCCACAGTATACATGTACGTAGAAAATAATATATCCAAAAACTCATGTGTTTCTTTTTTGACACATTTAAAGTCACAGTGATGTGAAATCTGAGGCAAAAACACCAGGTGGAGAGCATTTATTGTCTATGGACAAGGTAAATGAAGTCATAATAATATTATTTTGTCATGATCCCTTATTAATGGTGTTTTTTTTTTTATAAAAGATAAAAGAGAGGGGACGTAGGATCCAAACCTTCCACATCCTTTACCTTGCATTCCCTGGTCTGCCCCCTTTATCTCAGCTTCTTCTCTTTAGCCCTTTTCCAACTACAAAATGTTAAGGGTTATTACCTATAAATATCCACCTTTTTCCCACTCCCCACCCTTTTAGAACTCCCACATCCTGCCCTTTCCTCTCTTTAATACCTCCCACACCTCTCCCCCAGTTCTCTTGGGCTTCTCACCAACCTCCCCTACATGATGTTATAACACCATACAGTGACAGATCCAGACCTTCAGATAAGGGAGGGACGGGTCATCCAAACCCTGAGATAAGGTGGGGGGGTGGGGGGCTGGCCTCAAAATTTTTTTTTTTTTCGGCCCTTCAGGCGTCATTTTGATCTAACAATGGGGGGGGGGTCCCCCCGTAGGTGGGTGGGTCGTGCGGCGCCTCTTCCCCATCTTTTTTTTTTTTCCCCGTCCAGCCGGCGTCTGTTTCAACTCCGGGGGGGGGGGGGGGGCGGTGGGCCCTCCGGGCCCCTCCCTTGGATAGGCCACTGCCATATCCTTACAGTTCAACAGCTCAGTTGTAGTGCTAGTTAACTCTCGTACTGCATCTCCAGATTGAAGTGAGCATAATTTCCTTGCTCTTTTTAGAGCTCACTTGACAGTCAGTACATAGAGTACAGTCAAACACTGTTATTACAGATACTGAGGGGGCCATTGAAATTGTCCATATTAACAGGTTGTCCATATTAACCCTTTAAGTCCCAATATTGACCAACATTAATTTTCTCCTAACAATATCCATATATTGTCAAGAGATTAGGTTATAAGAATTAATAAAATGATCACCTAAGAGAAAATGCTTTGATCTTTTATCAAATTCTCTCAACTCATTCTTTAAGGAAATACATAGAGATCAGTTTGGAGAATTTGTATGTGGATAAAGTGAGAGCTTGCTTTCCCCTGGGAAAAAGCAAACTGTCAGTAATAATGATGTGTCCGTATTAAGTGGGCACGTCTGTAAGAAGGGTTTGGCTGTAAGAATATTTCAAAATACAAGAAAGACTTTAACAATAATATTAGCTAAAAAAAAAAGTCATAGTAAATTTATACATACTGTATAAAAGTCTGAGGATTGATGATATATATATATAGTTGTGTACAAATTTCTATATTTTGATCTTTAGGATGGTGAGCAATATGTCCTAAAAGTCTGGACATTTGAGCAAATTGGAAATGTGCTCAAAGTTGCTGGAGAGAGAAAATGCCGTGAAGCTCAAGCTTGCTTAGAAGGTAATATTCTTATTTTACAAGATCATGGACAGGCCATTTAAGGCAAAATACGGTAGTGTCTCAAGTACTTTTGCAACTCTGGTTGTAGCTGTGGGTGACGTTGGTTGACGTTGTGCTCATAAATTTATTTCTTAGTTATTTGCCTTTTACAGAAAACCAAGACCCCATGGTTAATGTTATGGGTGCAGCATATGCGTCTGTCAATAGCAGTGACAGGCCCTTGTTAAAGGCACATGCTGATCTTAGTAAAGCGCGAGAAGACTCATCAGAGAATGTTGATGAACAGGAGGCAAGGTTTACGCTCTCTCTTCTCATTAGCGAAATGGATAAACAGCTGCTAATGACATCACACAATACTATTGCCAAGTAAGTTCCCAAGTGTACTGCTCATTAATAGAGCAAATGACTGATTTATGTTCTTATAAATGACAAACATTCAAATCATTGGCAAACTTATATGCTACTATATGACAGAGCAGTTTAACCCTTTAAGCCCTAAGAGTGATCAGCATCAAATTTCTCCTTGTAATATCAATGCTTTGTAAAACAGAGTGGTCATGAGAATTATGGACATGATCACACAAGATGAATTTGCTTGATATTTTATCAACTTCTCCCCNAAAAAAAAAAGTCATAGTAAATTTATACATACTGTATAAAAGTCTGAGGATTGATGATATATATATATAGTTGTGTACAAATTTCTATATTTTGATCTTTAGGATGGTGAGCAATATGTCCTAAAAGTCTGGACATTTGAGCAAATTGGAAATGTGCTCAAAGTTGCTGGAGAGAGAAAATGCCGTGAAGCTCAAGCTTGCTTAGAAGGTAATATTCTTATTTTACAAGATCATGGACAGGCCATTTAAGGCAAAATACGGTAGTGTCTCAAGTACTTTTGCAACTCTGGTTGTAGCTGTGGGTGACGTTGGTTGACGTTGTGCTCATAAATTTATTTCTTAGTTATTTGCCTTTTACAGAAAACCAAGACCCCATGGTTAATGTTATGGGTGCAGCATATGCGTCTGTCAATAGCAGTGACAGGCCCTTGTTAAAGGCACATGCTGATCTTAGTAAAGCGCGAGAAGACTCATCAGAGAATGTTGATGAACAGGAGGCAAGGTTTACGCTCTCTCTTCTCATTAGCGAAATGGATAAACAGCTGCTAATGACATCACACAATACTATTGCCAAGTAAGTTCCCAAGTGTACTGCTCATTAATAGAGCAAATGACTGATTTATGTTCTTATAAATGACAAACATTCAAATCATTGGCAAACTTATATGCTACTATATGACAGAGCAGTTTAACCCTTTAAGCCCTAAGAGTGATCAGCATCAAATTTCTCCTTGTAATATCAATGCTTTGTAAAACAGAGTGGTCATGAGAATTATGGACATGATCACACAAGATGAATTTGCTTGATATTTTATCAACTTCTCCCCACTACTATGGTAGGAAACAAATAGGGGTAACAAATGAGAATTCAAAGTTTGATCTTAGAGTTTCAAAGATTAATACTAGAAATGAAAGGAGGATTTAGCAAAATATAAGGATGTAGAGACCTATTTAGATATCTCTAAGCTGCTTGCACCTTAATTCCTGTGATCCAAAAAGAAGTGTCTTTTTTAAGTTTGTACTCAATTCAGTATGACTAATTTCTGAAAAAAATTATTTGTTGCAGGGAAGTCAGGTTGAACCCAAGTACTGTGCAGGTAATAAATTCAATTTAAACTCTAGCCTGCGAGCAAGCTCTCTGGGGCACTCTGGGGCGGGAAAAGGAAGGAGGGCTTGCAACTACGTGTTTGGAATTTGAATATCTGCATCGAAAAAGTCAATGCGAAATGCTGATTGGCAGAGATGACACTGGTAATTAATAGCATCATTACTTTTGACACATGTTTTTCAATTTTTGTTTACATTCTCGCTCGTTTCTGCTTTGGGCTGATTGGTGGAAATCTGACAACGGGGACCCAGGCCTGGCTGGGATTGGAGGTGGAATTTAAATGCCAGAGACGTAGTTGCAAGTTCTCCTTCCTTTTCCAACGCTGTCACCAGAGAGCCTGGGAGAGCTTGTGAGCTTGCTTGCTTGTATCAAGAACAAATATTAACACATCATTTCTCCATGTTACGTTTATGGGACAGATGTCCATATAAAAAGGCACACTCTGCTGCCCATTGGTTAATGCAGGATCTCACCTCCTCCTACTAATTCAAAGGGATCACACTGAAATGAATCAGAATAACCATGACACCAAGGGTCTACATTCTGTACTGTTTAAAATCCTTGTTGATTGTCTGACCAGAGTTTGAACTCGCAAGAAAAACTAAGCCAGCTAGCAATGGTTTGCTCAGTTGGGAACAAGGCCAGCTGAGACCTTGTTATTTTAAAAAACATCCTGAATACTGAACCAGGAAGTGAAATGCCAGTATGAGACCATTCAGGACACTGAATCGTGTCTGTTTTGTTACCTACAGGCTGAGTATGAACTCTTGAAAACATTTGCTGGTGAAGAAGGGAAATGTCTGGAATACATTGAGTGGACACTTGGTTAGTATGTGGTTCTCATCAAGTAATGTATTTGTTGAAGTTTCACAAGCCCCGTTGATAGTTTTTTTATGGTTTAATATGTGATATCATGCTACACCATGTTGTTGTCACCTGTTTGACAAACAAAAAGGAAAAGAAATTAAAAGAAATTAATTGACTTTTGGTTGTTAATTCTTTTACGATTTGAAACTAACAAGGAGATTGAGATAATTTTGCAAGACAGTGATGTACACGCACCCATAAAAAGAAAAAATGGTTAAGTGATATGGCAAGTGTTTGTAAAGATTAAAAATTTATTAATCAAATAGACGAGATAGCATTGGAAAGTTATGTACAATGTGAAAGGCTGATAAACAAGGCCATTCCTAGATCACCAGTTCAGTAATGGATGCCACGCCCCGCCCTGGCAGCAGGTCCATGGTGATATCAGCTACTTGGATGTGAAGCCATTCGACAGCGACAAGTTGACTATCACTGCAAACACAGCGGGATACTTTCTGAACAAGGGATTGAACCAAGAGGGACAGGTTAACCATGAGAGAGAGGGAGACATCTACCCTACTCTTGTCGCACTTCTTAAGGCCAAGAGTCCACAGTTTGCTGCTGCTATTGAAAAGAAGGTAAATCGGGTTTACAATATTAATTTGTATTTTGTGTGTGTCTCTGTTTTGTGAAAGAAACTTAGCTGATGGTGTTACCTACCTCCTGGTAGGAGTTTGCATATTATGGTTCAACAGAAGTTAAACAGGACAAAACTGAGAAGATTGACGAGACTTTGAAGGAAGAGGAGGATAATGGATCAGCTGGAGAAGAAGCAGCTGATGGAATAGAGGCTAAAAATCATCAAAAGTGAGCTTAAAATTTACCTTCATTATTCCAATTTGCCATACAAGAGCCTTTCATAGCACTGTGCAGGACACAGGTCACATATGAACCTTGTATTATACATTTGTATACCTTGTTCCAAAATGGTGGTAAAATTAACTTTTTTTGTGTTAATGTTGATTAGCACTCTTTGCCTCAATCGTAAGATGTGCAGAATTCAAACAAATTTGAACCTTAAAATGAAGCATTAAGGACAAGCTATTGAGAAGGCAAAAGAATATGACTTAATTTCTACCATTTTGGAATTAGGTGTATGGTCTAGCATGCCAAATACTCCCAATTAGTCATGAGTAACTAGATTACTTAAGCCGTATCTAGCATGTCATGGGTGCAACTCCCTTTAAACCTTATCATGACAATTTTTCTCTAAAGTGAGCAGCTTTACTTCACGAAATTGCTAACAATAGATGGGGTTAATACAGGCTCAACCTTTGCTTCTAGGATTGTCTCCTATTCCAGGGGATGAGTAGCAGAGAATACTGGGAACAAGGTTGATACAGGCCAGCTATGAAAATGCTCACTAGCCTAACTTTTGAAATCTGCTTATGATTATTATTTTTTGTCTTTTCTTCAGCGCGGCTCCTAAGACTAAAACAACCAAAACGACGCAAAAGAAGAAAGGAACCAAGGGAACAAAGACATATGAATCATCACCTCGCTGGAAAAATATCAAAATTGAATTTGGTGCAGATCTAATTGGTGACCAAGAGTAAGTAGTCTAAATCCGGGATTTTTTAGCCAATCAGAAGTAAAATACTAGCAGGGAGGTAGGGAAGCTTAAAACGTAACAATAGTAGTCAGTGACCATTGGGAACACTGACTTCAGATCAAGATTACCCTTTAAAAATGTCCTGTTTGTTTTGTTTAGTTATGTATTGATGTGCTTTGTTAGTGTTAATAATGATAAGCAGACTTTTTTTCAGACCAAGAAAACACATTTGAAATAATGCAGTTTTGTGCACTACTTACAGCATCTCTAGAGAATAAATAGTTTAAAGCTTTTATTCTTCACCTGCACCTATCACTCATTCGTAAAGCCACTGTGCAGAAAACTTACAGTGGTTCTAGGGAAGGTAGGAGCTATTATTTTCATTTCACAATATTAGTATTGGTTGGTAACTGTAATTCTCTATATGTACAGGAAAAAAGACAAAGACAAGCAGAAGGGCAAAAGCACCCCTGACAAGAAGCCACCATCTAGACACGCAAAGAGCAGGTAAGAACCTTTGTACAGACATTCTTAAATATCTATTTACTCTTTTACTCCACAGAGTCAATTGTCATTGATTTTTATCCTTGGTTTAATTAATTAATTTTTTGTCTCAAACTCATTATCATTAACTAGCATATCAAAAACAAAGAAAAGTAAGTTAAGACAAAAATAGATTTGAACCACAACAGAGACAAGAAATGTAGTTCTTACTTTTGATGACATCCAATTACATGTCCATTTGAATGAAATGTCTTTGGCAATGGCATCTTTGAAATGGGATTTGCGATGTTTGTTGCATTTTGTATTTTTGGCATATTTTGTAACAACGTAGTGATGGTTGTAAACACTTTTGCTTGGACAACTTTTCAACATGTGGCATGCATCAAATGGAATGGTGGATTTTAACAACGGACGAAAAACAGGGAGGGGGTGGACAGTGAGGGAAATATTCCTCTCCCTTTTCTTCCCCTCCCCTCCCCTCCCCTTTTTGCACCTGCCACACGGGCTGATTTGAATAAGGTTTAGTTTGCAGCTGTTAGAGTCATTAACCCTTTAAGCCCCAAGATCCACATACAAATTCTCCAGACTGATCTCCATACATTTCTTTTAAGAATAGTTGAGAGAATTTGGTTTAAGATCAAAGCATTCTCCTTTTGGTTATCAATTTAGTAATTCTCATAACCTTTACTCTTAATGATCTGCTGATGTTGTTAGGAGAAAATTGATGTTGGTCACTCGTGGGACCTAAAGGGTTAATTTTGTTACTGATTTGTTTCTTCAGAGAGGCAGGAAAGGCTGGTAGAGTGTCAGTACGTTCTCAGACGAAAGGTGATATGGAGGAAGACTTCTCTGAAAGTTCTTCAGAAAGTGAGGAAGAGGAAGAGAACCAAGACAGACGACAGGAGTCTAATGCTGATCTACCATCTGAATACTGGCAAATTCAAAAGCTCGTCAAGTACTTAAAGGTAAATAGCTGCTCAAAGAAATTAATGTCCAGTAGCCATCTCCAGTTAGATGAATTATTAAATTTTTTAAACAGTGAAAGTGTATGTTAGTTATGGCCCATATCGAGGGAATAGTGATCAAATTCTATCAACTTGAGAAGTCTTGCACACTCACACAGGGTTGCCAAAGTATGTGCAGTGGTTTGATAGTGTACAGGACACTTGATTCCATCCACTATCTACTGTCAATTACTTGTAGCCTGCAGTCAACTGCATCATGCAAGTGAATACAGAGTCTAGCCATAATGACCTACTTCATTGCTTAAGCATAACATTGTTGATCATAACATTTTGGGGAAATGGAAGGTCTGAAAACCTACTATAATCTACACAACCCTAACCCTTTACACAGCCCCAATTAACCCTTTAAGCCCTAAGAGTGATCAGCATCAAATTTCTCCTTGTGATATCAATACTTTGTGAAACAAAGTGGTCATGAGAATTACATACATGATCACACAAGATGAATTTGCTTGACATCTTATCAACTTCTCCCCACTACTTCTGTAGGAAATGAATAGGGGCAACAAATGAGAATTCAAATTTTGATGCTTTTCTATATTTAGAGTGGCAATCAGACTGCTACCATTATAGCTTTGTGCGCCATGAGGGATTTCAATCTTCAACAAGAGACATGCCAGCTGGCTATCAGAGATGTTGGAGGACTTGAAGTGTTGATAAACTTGCTGGAAACAGAGGAAATAAAGTGCAAGGTGATCCTTACAAAATACTTTTTTCCACTGCTTGATGTATCCGCTTGAAATGATTAGTCGTGGCAGTTTCTTTTTTTCATGCATTTTTACTCTTTCATCCCAAACTGCTCTATCAACAATTCGCAATTTTCACTTGTAGTTGGAGCAGATGTAAGTGGACACTGATCTTTACTTTCCTCTTCGTCTTTCAGATTGGGGCTTTAAAGATTTTGAAGGAAATTTCTAGAAACTGCATCATAAGAAAGGCAATTGCTGACTTAGGAGGTGAGGAGGGGCCGAGGGCATCTTGATTATTTGCCTCGTCATGGAGGCAAATTCTTCTGACCCTTCTTTATCAGGGAGGTGTATTCTATGACAGCCCCAGTAAGGCTGTGCAAGAAACTACAGACGAGATTGCTGTAGCCTACGAGCAAGCTCTCTGAGGCGCTCTGGTGGAGCTGGGTGGAGGGGGAGGAAAAAGAAGGAGAGCTTGCAACTACGTCTCTGGAATTTGAATTGCTCTTCTGCTTCCCCTGTGGCTCCCCCTTGACTGAGCTGTCAGATTTCTGCCAATCAGCATTTCGCAGCGACTTTTTCGATGGAGATATTCAAATTCGAGAGACGTATTTGCAAGCTCTCAGCTCCTTCCTTTTCCTTCCCCGCCATTAGGTGTTGCACATTCTTCCCATAATACCTTGCGCCAGGATAGTCCAGTCATTCGCAGGCCCTCGCGTGATCTGTCGAAGTACTTCTGGCGAAAGCTGACATGGTAATGTAACTTTATCTTCTTCAGGTTTACAAACCATGGTCAAGCTTCTCCAGGGATACAATGACGAGCTGAAGTGTCTTGCTGCAGAGACTATTGCGAATGTCGCTAAATTGAGGAGAGCAAGGCGAACTGTCCGGCAGTTTGGAGGCATACGAAAACTGGTGAGTGTGAGAAAGGAGAATTTGTGAACTAGAATGAAACAAGCAATTCAAATTTCCTATGGCTCGTAGCTCTTTAAGGTGCTTTTATTATAGGCTGCCTGTGAAATTGCGACATGATAGTTTTGGTCCTAGTATTGCTTTTGGTAATATCCAGTGGCGGATCTAGGGCAGGGGCCTGGGGAGCCCGCCTCCCCCCTCCCCCCTCATTTTTGGACGAAAGCCGAGGCCTCTTTGGTGAGTTACTTTGTGTTGGAGCTAATAGCTATAGATACCTTTATCGCTATCTCAGATGATTGCATCCAGCATTTAGTCAGATTAAAGCGCGAGAAAACACAGCAAGCATACGGTTTTACACCTTTTGGTCGAGAGAGTTTTTTCAACCAGTAAAAATGTTTTGCTTTATTTTTTGTTAGGTGGCACTCCTGGATTGCGGATCTCTTGCAAGTGCATCTGCCATGCAAGCAGATGTGGCACGCTGTGGAGCACTGGCTTTATGGAGCTGCAGTAAAAGTACTAAAAACAAGCAAGCCATCAGGAAAGCAGATGGTATTCCTCTGTTGGCCAAACTGCTTAAGTCTAACAATGAAGCAATGCTTATTCCAGTCGTAGGAACGCTGCAAGAATGCGCTTCTGAGGTTGGTATGACCCCCGCTTTCATACTGTTTCGTATTGAAATAGTGGCACGCTCAAAAAAGAACACCTGATAGCAGGTTAAACCTCCATGTACAACCACCTTCGGGGTGGATTTCGGCTGTCGCGTAAATTTTATGTGCGCACGCAAATAAACTTTAAAGCGCGTAAATAAAATAGCTGCAATGTATATGTTGTAGTTCAATTTTTTTTCTTGTTGAAATTTTTTTGGAACCAGTTCAAAATTTTTAGGTTGCGCTTTCGGTAGGTTCAATTGTATGTTCCTTGTTGAAAAAATCTTAGTCAAATGTATGGAATTCTTAAAGCCAGGTAAACGCATGCTAACTTTCCAATTGTTGATCAGTGTTGTGAATACGTAATGCGCAAACTATTTGGAACTTTTAAAAAATCTCTAGCGGAGTGCTGTTGGTAGTCGTGCTTTTAAAAATTTTAATGTATTATTTCTTTTTCAGGCAAGTTACAGACTTGCTATTCGCACTGAAGGCATGATCGAGGACCTCGTAAGGAACCTTAACAGCGAAAATCAAGAACTTCAAATGCACTGTGCTAGTGCAATATTCAAGGTAAAACTACTTCTGAATGAAGAATGAAGAATGCATTGGAGGGCTTTGTCCACCATACCACTGATTTTGTCGACTGGCTCACATTTCCGTTATCTTCTTAACCTTTGGTCAAAATGTGCCGTTTTCACGAAGTTTTTAACGTACCATTTGGTGCACTTGTTTTCAGTGTGCTGAGGACAATGAAACCCGCGATCTTGTTCGGAAATACGGTGGCCTGGATCCTTTGGTATCTCTTTCGTTCAATGTTGAAAATAAGGAGTTACTTGCTGCAGCCACAGGCGCTATTTGGAAGTGTTCCATCAGCCGCGAAAATGTAACTAGGTAAGATAATGCAACCATGTCTCTTTTAATCTGAAAGTGGAAACCGTCTTGAACAGCGTGGCTGAACACCAGCAAAGGAAAGCACTACTCAGCAGCTTTCATTTGAATGGTAAAATCAAAGGATTTCATCCACAAACTCAAAAGTTTGAACCATCTTGTATAACATAATAAACAGTACCACAGGAAAGTACTGCTCAGTGGCTTTCATTTGAATGGTAACACCATAGGATTTCATCCACAGACTCAAACGTTTGATCTTAATACTCATACGTATTCATTGATGTTTGCAGATTTCAAGAATTGAAGGCCATCGAGCAACTGGTGTCTTTATTGAATGAGCAACCGGAAGAGGTAAGTAATATAACACCATTCTACTTACTGAGTACTGGTTCTCTTTCTTAGTGCGATAAGGATGACAGCGGTGGCAATAGCGATAAATGACAGTAGGCCATTTCCGAGTTCCCCCGGGCCTCTGTATCAAAATGAGGCTAGGTGCACAACCTTTCTTGTGAAAATGAGTTTTATTTGCATGAGAATGAAAAATGATTTCCATATCAAAGGCTGAGCACTTAACCTCGTTTTGATACAGAGGCCCGGGGCAACTCGGAAATGGCGTATTATTATAACGACAGTGAAATGATGTGTTTCGTGAGATGTTTAGTGATGATGACGTTGGTAATCACGAAAAAGAAAACTATGACATTGATGTTGGTGACACAACTGTGGTGAAGATGATAATGATGATGACAAGGCTGGTTTGGGCAATGATGATGATGATGATGATGGTGGTGGTGACGACGACAATGACGACGACGGCGACGACGGCGAAGGCGACGGCGGTGATGAGGATGGTGATCACAATGACGATGACGATGACAACGAGGATGATGATGATGATGATGATGATGATGATGATGATGATGATGATGATAGTGATGGTGCTGGTGGTGGTGATGGTTGTGATTACAATCAACTCTCGCCTTGCAGACACCCCGCTATAACAGACACCCCGATAATACGAACAGCAGCTAAATCTCCGGCAAAAATAAATCACAGACGATTGAAAGAAATAAACTCTCGCTATTACGGACTCTCGCTAATGAGGATACTAACTCGAGGTCCTTACAGTGTCCACTGTAAAGGGATGTGACTGTGTTTGTTGATATTAATATTCATGATGATGACTTTTATGAAGATGCTAATGATTAAGTTGGTGAATAATGAATGTGATGCTCTGGCCTCTTACCTACACTTAAACATACATTCTCTTTCTTAGTGCGTTGTGGATACTTCTTCCCTCTTGTTGAAGGCATAAATTTTATCTTCCATGCACAGGTCTTGATTAACGTGGTGGGTGCCTTGGGGGAGTGCGCACAAATCCCGGCTAACAGAACTACCATCCGCAAGGCTGGCGGCATACCTTCACTAGTAAACCTGCTGACCAGTACGAACCAAGCTCTCTTAGTAAACGTCACCAATGCAGTAGGGGCCTGTGCGACTGAGCCTGACAACATGGCGTGAGTTCTTGCTTTCCTTTTCTCTTTTTCTTTGTTGCTGTTTTTTTAAAAATTAAATTCCTTGTTTTTTTCTTTTGCAGTATCATTGATCGTCTTGATGGAGTACGTCTGTTATGGTCTCTTCTGAAGTCGAATAACCCCAACGTGAGTTTAATTTTTTGTCTCAACACTTTCATCCACTGTCAAATTTTACTGACAAGGTTGATATTCAGGAGCCAGTTGCATAGACTTTAACACCAGACGTACCTGCCAATCGACTCTTTATTTAACGCCAGCTAGGTTTTATGCAGATAGTCCCATAAGCGTTAATCGGACGGGTAGATTTTCATTCTCAGGCCTTTTTTCACTCAGGCTCAGGTTCACATTCGTTGTTTTTGCAGGTACAATCCAGTGCAGCTTGGGCGATTTGTCCCTGCATTGAAAATGCAAAGGTAAGTCGGGATTGTGTTACTTATCAAGTTAGTGGAAACAAGCCGGTCTCCTTCACAGTCCTTCAAAGACGGATCTAGAAAATTTAGAAAGAGGGGACGGGAGACAAGCAAAGAACTCTGAGAGCAATACGCTCTTCTCACGTATGGTAATATGCCCGTCTAACCTCGTTTTTGAGTAAAAAATCCTTTGAAATGCTAATCAGACGACGTTTTCGTATTTGAATTTCAAAAGAATTTTTACCCGTAAACGAGGTTAGACGGGCATATTACCATATGTGAGAAGAGCGTATTGAGTCTGTAAAAGACTTAGTTTAATGAGAATTCTTTCCCTTATCACATCCCCCTCCCCCAGCGTCTTTTTGAAGGTGTCGACCACTTTCTTCCTCCCCTCCCCTCCCACCCCATTTCCCTTCCATTCTCTGCACCCGTGTAACCGTCAGAAAATGTAGATGTTAATTTCAAACTGACAAAACAAATACGTACAAATTTTTGTGATACGGTTGAGTTTCCAGTGTTTATTAACTTTTTCTTGATATTTTTAGGACGCCGGAGAGATGGTGCGATCGTTTGTTGGTGGTCTGGAACTGATTGTTAGCCTGCTAAAGTCTAGCGACAGAGAGGTATTTACATTTAACTGTAGACTGTTTGAATTTGCTCATTGTATTTCTGTGAATGATTTGTTGATACAAAGAAATGGATCATTTGATATGAGCACCAGACATATGAGCGATGCAAGTCAAACGGCAGTGAACCACTTACATTCTTGGGCAATTCTTTTGCCCAAATTTTTGGATAGATCGTCTCTACTATTAGTCAAAGATGTGCTCGCCTTTCCTCGATGGGGGGCACATACTGAAACACTAGAAATATGGTTAAGAACAAATTTGTTAGCTAGCTGGCATTCTAATCTCAATTTTCTTTCGACATTTTAGGTTTTGGCGAGTGTCTGTGCTGCCATTGCAAACATCGCGAAAGATGAAGAAAATTTAGCGGTGATTACAGATCATGGAGTGGTACCTATGCTGGCCAAGCTTGCAACAACGGTAAAGGGCAAAAAAATTGCTTTATATCCATATTTTACGTCGATAACTCGTGACAGCAATAACTGATTAACCTGAGGTCGACGGTGCGCTTATTTCACCCCCCTCTCTCCATCAATGCTCCGTGTTAACAACAAAAAGATCTCACCGGGGATCGAACTCGGGATCTCGTGCACCGAAGACCGCGCACTAACCAACTTGAAATACAGGTGTGTATAAATGAAAGTAAACGCCGGGAACCCGACAAGCCAATCTGATCTCGAAGCCACCAAGCGCGGAAAAAGAGTAACAGTGAGTCACTGTTGCTCATTACTGCTGATTGGTTGAGAGGGTGGCCCGAGTGTCATGAGCCAATCACAGAGCGTAGCGATGCAAAACTAAAATACTAATCTGCTCTACACTGCCAACCACTGCTCGAGGGTATAATGGTGTTAAGGTTCGTTCAGTATACGGAAATAGTTTATACCTCTTTAACAGGTTAGGATTGCTTTTTATTGTTTGCTTTTAATAACATGCTTCTTAAACTTTTGTATTTCAGACTGATGACCGCTTACGGCAATATCTAGCCGAGTCAATTGCCAGGTAAGTGACTGGATCAGTTTCCTTGTTGTCATGTCTAACAAATCTTCGTATTAATCAGTCTGTTTTCTGTGTCTGCGCAGGTGCTGTACGTGGGGTAACAATCGAGTTGCGTTTGGACAGGCTGGCGCTGTACCGCCATTGGTTAACTACCTTAAATCAAAGAACCCGGATGTACACAGAGCTACCGCGCGTGCGCTTCACCAGCTGTCACGTGATCCTGACAACTGCATTTCCATGCACAACAGTGGTGTTGTTAAGGTAAATAGAAGTCGCCTGAGGTCATGTAGAGTTTGAAATAGTGTGACAATGAAGCGGATGTTACCTGTTAAAGCTTATTCGCCTATTCCAGGCGAATAGTGGAGCCGTCTTAGTTAGCGTTAGTAGCACTGTGAAGTTGCCATTACTTAATAGTTGTTTGTGTTTCCTTCACAGTATCTTCTTGAAATGGTTGGTTCCACTGACGAAGTCCTCCAGGAGGCTGCTGCTGGTTGCCTTGGCAACATCAGGAGGCTGGCATTAGCCAATGAGAAGGCCCGCTATCACTGATTGACATTTCCAATATTGACTAGAACATGTACTGGCATGTACTTCAATCCAGATCTTGGTAGAGGAACATTTTTTATATATAAAAAACCCAACAGTAAAAAAGTGTATGTTTTTTTTTTATTTATTCTGTCACAAGTCACTCTGTTTACCTGTAAATAGTTCATGGTTGCTATCTGCGGCAGCTGTAGATAAAAGAAATAAAAATCTGTGAGGTCTTGTAGTTCCATCGTAATTTTGGTTTTAGTACTCACCCAAGGTGGCTTTTTCGTATTATTTTGTGACCATAATCCCAATAAATTATTTATTTTCAACTCTTGTTGTTTCCTATTTCTTGAATCCCTTGTTCTGCTTTTCCCTTCAAACCCGGCCTGTTACCTTTTTCGCCATTTAAGTAAGTAGACACTTACCGTACTTTTGAGTCTGTTTTCTAAAAACTATGGTGTGACTATCATTCAAACTAAACTCCGTCAGTAGTACTTTCCTATTGTATTCTTCTTTACGCAGTACAAGGCGACTGAACAGTATTTTCCTTCGGTTCTGTTTACTATGCAGTGACTAAGTAAAAAAGCAGTAAATTGATCGTCACGGTAAGGACAGGGAGAACACATCAACAACAAATGGTCTGCAGCTGTGACTTTGACTCAAAGGGGGAAGGGGAAATAGCTGAGATAGTAGGGAACGTCAACCGGAAGTGGCCATTTTGCATTACTTGGCAGCAACTTTTCCGAATTTTTCTGGCAATTCGTCTTAATAAGAGTAAAGATACATTTGGCAGCATCAAGGTTTATTAAAAGGGAAAAGGCTTAACTTTCGGTTGACGTGCATCGTCCAGAAACGCCTTTGCTTGTAATTGTATCACTGCAGGTGTGCCCGGGGGGTACTTGGGTTAATTTTTCCTGGGTATGTGCCGCTGGTCTCTCCGAGCTTCTACCCCATTATACTCTATTCTGTGGCCAATTATACACCCCATCCTAGTCACTTTTGAGCAAATATGTAATTTTCGCGATGCCAACTTAGTCAATTTCTACATTATCAATCCGTTAAATAGGTCATCCGAAAACATTTCATTGAACCATTTTTGACCCACAGTACAAATATTCTGGTACGTTTGCTAACCGTAAATGTGAAGAATTGTCTTAACCCCCAAAAAACCGAAAATGTACGACCCCATTCTATCAACTCTACTGAGCGGCACTTCCCGATTAGCCTCTTATAAGGAATTACTCCCCCCCCCCACCCCCCTGCGGGTGTGGTGACGTTAAGCCTTTGGCTCAGTTGTCCTTAGTTGATCAGTGGAAATTTACTGCAATCCTCTTATCAGCTACTTTACATTACATTTGGTTACATTAGGGTCAGCACCAAAAAATTTGAATGCATTAACCTTTTAAAAAATCCAACAAGATAGTCTAGCTCATAATCGGTCGTCCTTCTCCATGACGAGCACGAGAAGAACATCAGAGAACCCCGGGAACTAGGGTGCTGGTACCAGTCCTCGCCGTTTTCATTCCCATCTTTCTTAGCGAGCAGATTTGAAAAATGGCGGCTACGAAGCAAGACAGCAAGGCGATAACACTGAAAGGATCGGCAGAATTAGTCACTGAATTCTTCGGTAATTGCACATTTCTTTTTGCTTTTTCTAAGGTTAAGCTTCTCTTCTAAACCGACTTTATGTTTTTTTCACAGGATATGGGATAAACAAGTGAGTATATATCCTCAGTCAGTCATCGGTTACCTTTGATAAAATTAAAAACACTAGCGTACAGTAATACTGCATAACATAAGCTGGCAAGCTTAAGCTTAAGATTTTTATAGTTTCCAAAGTTGTGCTTCATTTTTGCAGGAACAGGAAATTTGGGTTGCAATCGTATACTTTTTCTGTGTATTTAGCATCAGTTACAAGTCAGAAAATTATTTGCTGGTAGGACTGCATTATTGGCATTTTTGGAAAATAATTAGAAGTTCATGCAGGCAACAGTTGTCCTTGAATGTTTTTTCTCTCAGCATATTGTATCAAAGAGGGATATATCCTGCTGGATCATTCAGAAGAGAGCAATTTTATGACCTTACACTATTTGTTTGTGATAATAAAGAGTTACAAGAATATCTTTCCAAAGTGTTACAGCAACTTAAAGGTAAAATATAATAATTAGTCATTAGACCAAGATTTCTCAAGGTCTCTTTATGCCGTGTTAGATGTTAGTGAAAGTACAGTATAGACTTTCTTCCGCGTCTAGTAATACAGTATACCACCCTATAATATTTTCTCTTGCAGTACGTGGAGATAGAAATGAGTGGAACTGACATCTCTTATGATATAAGGGAGCTCCTATTCAACGGGGTTAGGGATGTGGCAGTATTTTCTGATTTGGCATTAGCGTCTTTTTGGGGAAAGGCACCTATAAGAGTGTATGTGTTCTTATTCAAAGAATTTTGTTTACACAAACCTTATTCTACAACAACTGAATGATGTTTATGCTCATAAGTCAGTGGGCAAGAGCTGTGGTCTCTTAAACTATGGGAATTAATGAAGTGATGTTGTCTGAGAAAACAGGTGTCATTTCATGACACCACCACTGATTTCCCCGCGAAATGATATCTGAGAAACAAGCACAGAAAATCCATACCAATGACACATCACTACCCAGATCTGGGTAGTGCTTCTGATTGGTCATAACGCTTGTTAAATTTGCTTCAACCAATCAGAAGCACTACCCACAACTGGGTAGCGATGTGTCATCTAAATTTTTAGACCCAAGTCAAA